TTGTACTTAATCGTAACAATTGAATATTAGAATATTGGTAAAAAGTTGACCTACAAATTGTATCTAAAATAAAAAATAAATCAATATATATATATATACCCGTGGTTTCAAACTATTTAGTGCAAAAAAATATTTCAAATAATTGAAAAATTATAGAAAAGATAATAAGTAAGAAGTATCAAATAATCAAATTAATGCAGAACAGAAGTGTAACAATAAAAGAAAAAAAAAAAAAAAAAGAAGAAAATGAAAAGCCCTAGAATTTTATTATGTGAACAGGGCCCTCGATAGTTTTTCGGAGTGGCAGAAGTAAAGAAATTGACAAGCAGTCGGAGGCCGATAGTCTGCCAGAAATTGATTAAGAAAAGCTGCTTGCTCAAGATTTCACAGACGTGACGTAAAAAGTAAATGAGGGAGGTTGGCTAGAACGTTCTAACTCTTCCCATATCGAGATCTATATATGTGAATATGAATAGAGTCGAGTTTCTTGTTACTTATTACACACTCTTCTAAACAAATAATAAAATTTAAACGAACAATGAACATCATATATTGATAGAATTTCGATTAAGGACAAAAAAAAAACCAATTTCCGATTTTATAAAATTGTTTTTCACTATTGTTTTCAATAAATTGTCAATGAATATATCATGTTCATCGATGTATCAATAAATGATTCTTTTTTAAAAAAAACTGAATAACCTCGCTATTTGTCATTTTCAAATAAAATTTGAATAATTTTTTCCGGATGAAATCTCCTATTTCAATCTCATTCGAACATCCTTAGGTGAAATCATTTTTTTGTTTATATTATGTCCGATAGGGTTAATCAAATATATATATATATATAATACATGCCGTTGTCCTTTCAACACTTATAAAACGAAGATAAGTAGTGTATGTTCGATTGAATGACTTGAGAGAATAAAAATCAAAAACATGTTAAATACATTTAATGGTAATCAAAATTGATAATTTTTATTTTTATTTGAAAATAACATAGAAATGATTGTTCTTTCTATGAATAAAGACGAAAATAATTAAATTTAAAAAAATTTTTGTTTGATCTGACTCGATGATTCAATAAACAATAGACAAAAAAAACAATGTTCAAGTTTATAAATAACAACGAATTTCCATCAATCATTTTGTTACATTTAAAAATGATCATCAATGTCGTTAATAGATACTACAATCTCAACTGATGGATTATTAAATTATTTGGATTCTGAATCGATGACTTTGATCGAACCATTCTTATACAAATTTATTGTCAATGATAAGTTATTTTAATTTATGTTTATTGTCTAGATAAAAGAAACGCAAATGAACAATGGGCTAATCAATAGTTCTATTCAATCACATTGATTTTCCTTTTATTGGATTCTCGGATAGAAATAGAATCATTTCTCATTTTTATGTAGGTAAAAGTAACTAATATGATATTTCACTTGGACAAATTTATTATCCAAATAAAAGAAGGTCAAACTCAATGAAAACATAACAAAACTTAATGAACTATAATTGATTAGTTTATTTTCATTCAATCAGCGAAGGACAAAAACCAAGGATATTCAATTGTTAATCTATTTGTTGATATTTATTAATTTACTTTTCTTATCTAAATGAAACTAATTCAAACTGATAATAAATAAATTTTATCACGTTATCTAGATAATCATACAAAAAAAATTATAATCATTAATTGAAGATTTTAAAAGACTTTAAACATATATTTAATATTTATTTCGATTTAAGTTATTCGTGATATTCAACAATAAATAGAAAAACAAAAACAAATAACCTTCATATACTCATCTTAAACAAAGTCAATATATATATATATTTATATATATACCGAAAGATAATAGTCAAATGTTGAAAGATTCTTCTGATCAACACATGCTGATTATATTCGTTTCTTTCAGCTGATGTCCGTCATCAATAAACTTAAGTACTTATTTCAAACTTTGATTAGACAAATGACATTGAAATAATCTTTTTTAAACTTGATGTACATCCTTCAATTAGTAATGTTAAGTTCTTTAGCAATAATACGTTGTTTATTTATTTTTATTTTCTTATGAAACAGAAATTTTATTCATCGTAAAATTAATCTTTCAACTTTTTAGTATTAATATTTATCATTATCAAAACAGAATAGCAAAATCATTTTATTAATTTTATATTCAGATAATGAAAATCAGTTTAAATTACATTTTTTTGTGCCTATGAAAAATTAGTTTAATGTAAATGAAATAAAATCTTATCACATTTGTTCAAGTATTATAAGACATAGGCAAAATAAACAATATTTACATGTACTTTTATAATTTTCAAGCTCAGCCATTCGATAATCATAAATGAATTGAATTTTGCTATCGAAAAATTCAGTAATGTAGTCAAACATAAAAATCTTATTATTAATCAAATTTGAAATAGTATTATAAATTTCTTGAGAATGACAAGAAAATATTCTATTTAAATCATTCAAATAAAGTTCTTAATGACAAAAAAAAGATCATATTTGTGTACAAGAAACAATAGATAAAATCATCTAAATGTATCTCATTATCAAAATTATCATCAATAATATCTATGACTAACAACGAAAAATATTTTCAGACATTGAATTATCATCAAATTCTAATAGCTATTTGTAAAAAGAAAAAACAACTTTATATCGATCATGCGTCACAATCTTGCTAATAATATTCATGTTTATCTTAATCATTATAATTGATTCAATTAAAACATTACAATGAACGACTAAAAATCAAATAAAAATGTTCTTCTTGTCAATATTGAAATATTTTTCCTACAACTGATTAACATCGATTTTATTTATAAAAACTATAAACGAACATGAACATACACTATTATATGAAGAGAATATAACTAAAATTTGCCATTAAATAATTTCTTCTATTTCTTAAATCGAGAAAAATATTTTTCGTGTCTTAACTAAATTCAAACAATAAGATGATCCTTTTATTATTGCAAGATTAATTCACATAAAAATGTAAATTTCTTAAATAAAAAAGATTTGTTTGATTGATAAAATTATATTTTAGTCTGACATAAAGTGTCACTCAAAATCTTTATTTCATTTTGAGTTTTGTTTCAAAGAATAGTCAATTATATTACGGGCGCGGCATAATAAATGGGACTAAATGCTTTCCTCTTTTTAGAGTACTTCCCAACATTTAAGAGACTTAGTTTTAGACTCATTTGATGGAGAATTTCCTGTTCTACAAAATTATCATCTCGGTTTTCAAACAAATTTTCTTTTATCGGCATAAAATTTAGAAGATAAACATCCACTTAATCGTCTAACTGCAATTTCCGATTTTTTCCAGACATCTGTTGATTGATGAAAGCCTTGAAACATTAGAAGCGATGCCAACAATAAAGTATTTGACATCAATGGATAGAAAATCCCGTGTTCTCTTTTTCCACGACTTTTGTAATGTTTCTACTGTTGTTATTTGGAAGAACAACCTTTGAATCAATATCACATCATATTTCCCAAAGCGAAATTCTATCTGTGACACGTTTTTTCTAACTCCATCGAGATGTAGAATTTAATTCTGAACAAAATAAGTTGATTTTTCTTGCATGTACAGTAATCAACAAAAGTCTCCTTTTCAGTCTATCTCGATTACTGTGTATGTGTTGGAAATCTGAAAATTTGTGTACAATATACTTCACTAAAAATGTAGATCATTTTCATTACGGTACTATTATTATTGTGTAATCATAATGGAAATTATAACAGATGGCAGCTATGTTTGTTGTTACATTCATAACTCTGGAAAAGAAGAATGTTTATTCTGTATCAACCGACTTCTTCTCAATATGTAATGTTGTGTTCCAGCTATTGTATTAATCATTTCATTGAAGTTCATCAAACGTTTCAAAGTCTAAACTCATTTTACTGTCAGCATTATTGTAGAAGAGAAACTATCTACTGCTCTTTCTGGAAGACAATAGTTCAGTGATAGTTCAATGAAACGATTTCAAACTTTTTAAGGATTTTCATCTATGTTTACGTATTATTAACGAAAGTTTCAGAAGCAAACCTTGTACTAAAGAGAATTAGAACATAGATGACAATCTTGCTAATTACAAGGACCGAAAAACATTTATATTCGAGCAAATGAACATAGGCTTTGAATGAAGAAGACTTCAGTTATAATGCAAAAATTTTAAAAATTAGTCATACTTTAAAAAAAGAAACTGTACAGAATTTTATCAGCAATCATTTACAAATTATAATGCTCAGAGAAAAAAAATAGTTGCACATTATTATAACTCTGTTTGTAATTAAGCAATAATAATATCGTAATGTCAATGACCTACCTTATTGGTGAAATATGTGTAGACAAATTTTCATGCCATCAACACATACTGTAGACGAGATCGATTGGATGAAGACTTTCGCTAACTACTATATCTCTTCTAAGATCTTAAAACATATATTAAAAGATGCAAAACTTTGTAGAATATTTTAAATTTTAGCGAAATTTTTATGAAAACTTTTTCGCTCTTTGACCGTTGTAGTTGCACACTTGAGTAGATATTCATCTTATAAATTTTACATTAACCAAAAAAAAAAGCAAAGACAATAGTTTTGTAGAGCAGAAAATTCTCTATTGAATGAGCCTAAAACCAAAATCTCTAACTTGATTAAACCTTAATGTAAACATAATGTTATTCATTGAAAAAAATAACAAAGGAATTCAATTCTAAGTATTCTCTTCTTTGTTCATTGTCATATTTAATAATACAATCAATCATTTTTAAACTAAGTTTATGTTATTGACAAAAAATTGCTAGATAAACAATACTAGTTTAACAAGAGACATGCAGGATTAAACTAAAGTAAAAACCTATCTATGAAAAGAATAAAGCAGGATTGAACCGGAAAGATAAATAAAAATCGTTTTTTGAAAGTGCCGGACTATGGCATGAAAACACAAACAATAAGAATTAATTAATTAAGTAATCACAGTTGGTTTGTCACGTCCGGTGAATTCTTTCAATTGGGCGATTTCAATTGCTAAGGAAACCAATGGTTTAAGCATTTCCTATAAAGACAAATAAATAAATTAACAAATGATAATTTTCATGAAAAGAAAAAACAAAACTCAACCTGTGCATCTTTAGTATAAGTCGAAGGATTATTTTCATATGAATCAACATAAAGACGAACAGTAGCACCACGTGCACCTGTTCCACTTAGACGAAAAACTAATCTTGAACCATCAGTAAATATAATTCGAATGCCTTGATTTTCAGTATAACTTCCATCAACTGGATCTTTATAATGAAAATCATCCATTAGTTTAATAGTATATTGTTTATTTCCATATGGTGTATTAAATGTTTTATTCATTAATTCATTTGACGTACATATTTGTTCAAGTCGTTTAATCATTGAAAATGGACCAGGACCATTGATTTCTTCATAATCATAACTATATATTCAATAATTAAAATTTAATTTAATAAAAACAAACAAAGTTAAGATATACCGTGTAAAAAAATTTCGTCCATATGTATTCCAGTGTGCATTTAAAAGATTTTCAACAGATCGATCAACGTTAGCTAATACTGATAACCATGAAAGTACAGCCCACATACCATCTTTTTCTCTATATAAATAAAAACAATAAGTTTTTTATTTTAAATTAAATTCAAAATATATACCGAATATGATCAGATCCCGTTCCAAATGATTCTTCACCACAAATTGAAATTAATTTTGAATCCATTAAATTTCCAAAAAATTTCCAACCAGTTGGAACTTCATAGAGGGATTTTTGACTTTTTTCAGCCACACTAATTAAATATGAAAATATTTCAATTTATAATTAATAATGCATTCAATGCAAAAAAAAAAGGATTATTTGATATTATTCAGTTTTCTATCGATTTCAAGCAGTAGGAAAAACAGGTGACCATGTCAAATACTATTATCTACAGATGGAATACTACGACAATTCGTCAGTATGAATTTCAGATTTAATGGTCTATCAGCGGCCAGTTGATACCGGTCTTGCAAAAATTCAGACGGGCTCCATCTCTGACAACCACAGTCATAATTTCAGGTTTATCACGATTCATGTGACCTCTTATTGTAAACAATGCATATTGTTGACGAACATCAGATATTTCGAATATACATTGTTCAAAGCAACAAGAATATGGCGCAGTGAAAAAACCAAACGAAGTTTATTTTATTAAGTGAATAATAAAGAAATCAATTTCAGCAGTGATTATTATATGTATTTAGTTTTATTTAGAAAAAATAAACAAATTATGGAAAGACGTTAAAAGAATGATATTACTTTTATTAGGAAAAATCTAATATAGATACAAAATAAGCGACTATTTCAATATCCGAGATCGTAATAACTGTATGTAAGCCATGCCGAAATCTAGTCCGGCGAGCATACGCTTAAACTGTAATAATATCCGATTTTTATTGACTTTATAACAAAATAATTCTATTTGATTCTATTTTATTAAAATATTTGAATTTAAAATAGAGTGTCTTATTTCTTGTTTGCCTGTTGGACTAAAAACCAAGGAATAAATAGTGGAATTCTGAACTTCTACGAAGTTCAACGGACTCCTAAATTCTGAATTCAATAGAACTTCGCAACATATCATAGGGAATTAGAGGATTTCACCAATTACCCTTGATTAAAAATCACGATAGTAAAGAAATATTACTGATCTCATTCTAAACGTTTTTCTCATAAAATAATCCAAAAAAACAACATTTTTTCTAAGTTTTATTTAGGAATCTTGTCACTAATTTGAGTATACTTTATCGCATACTATTTGCTTTAATACACATATTACTTTATTAAAACAAGAAAACAAAAAAAAAAAAAATTTTTATACAAACCGATCAATTGCACCAGATGTAGGCATACTTCTTGCATAACCACAAACACCATGTTTTTGAAAATAGGGAATAACTTGAAGATTAGCAGCTAAAACAGCTAATGAATCACAAGGTGTAACAAAAAATCCATGTTTGCCTAAAATCATATTACGATCCTAAATAAATAAAAAAAGAAAATTAGTATCTATTAAAAAACTAAAAATCAAAAAACTGAAACTAACTCCATCTCCATCAAATGCAGCTCCAAATTCATAATCTCCATGTTCCATATCTTCAACTAATTCATGAGCATAAGTTAAATTAGGATCAGGATGACGTCCACCAAAATCTTCTAAATTTTCGCAATTTTTAACCGTAACTACATCTTTAGCATTNATTATGACAATTCTTATAGTTGATAGGAACGCTCTCAAATTTTATCATTTTGATAATATTTGCATTTAGAAAAAATTTATTAGATTCATTCAACATTGTTATACTAAATAAAGCTTTTTTTTGTTGTTGTATGATAGATCTTCAATGCATAAATTTTTTTCTCCAAATGATAATATATACGATATATGCCATAATCAACCAGCAAATATCGTTTTATGTCCTGTTTCGTCAGTTCAATCATCATATTATCCTGCTATACACATTGATTTTATAGTTCATTAAGTTTCGAATTACATTGTTCCTTAAAGAACTTCGACGTATACTATTGACTTTTTTCTAAACTTCGAATTAAATTAGTTCATACTATTCTGGCTGTGTTAGATCAATAATGCCACGACCCTACTGATTAACATCAGCAATAAGATTCTTTTGCTGCATTAAACATCAAAATCTGGAATATTTAACTTAGTTAGAATCAACAGAATTTCAGAATCATCTGAGCACTAATATTGCCTACGCATCTTTTCTCGTTATTAGGAAAATGTTTCTAATGAATTTTGGCCTTCCATTCTTGGTTGTTAGGATCTGTGGGAGGAAGCGTACAACAACCTCAACTTAAATCTGTATTCATAATTTTCTTCGAAAATATATATGAGTTTCCCAAAATTATCCGAACAGATAAGATAATGAACTTGTTGATCTCTAATAAATGCTTGTCTAAAATTGAAACTTAGAATTTTTGTATCTTTCACATAAAAAATTCGAATTCATATTAATATATTAGTCATCATAAAGATTATTTGTTTGAATAGTTTGTTCTTATTGACTTTTGACCTTAACGATTAAACACGTAAAGAACGAACATGAATGAAACTTTTGACTTAGTACAGAAATATTCTTGTTTGAAAACATCTTTATTTGATAAATAATAATAAAAAATCTTCTTACATTATTGGCAGCAGCCATTTGAATAATAATTCTAGTACCTTCTCGTACAAAATGTCTTCCATCACCTCCAACAACTAATGTTGGTAATTTTCCATTACTTGTTTCAGCTAAATCATCAAAATAAGATTGAATAAAATTTTCAAAATATTGATTTTCTTTAAATGTTTTTGTTGGTTTTCTTAATCCACTTGTACCAGGTTTTTGATCTGTAAATGGTTTTGTTGAACGAATTTCAATAACATGTTTAACTTGTTCCGGATTAGACATTTTTGTTTTGTTTTTTTCTCAATAAATTTCTTTATCTAGAAAAACGAAACTGAGAAGAACAAAAGAGAGAAAACAGATGAAATTTTTGTTGTTTCTTTCTTTTATAATGAAACAAAAACAATAAGAAAAGAAAACAAGTTTAAGTAACACGAAGACTTTGTAAATGTGCTTGTGTTGAATGTAAAGCTTGTTCATGTAATTGTTTCTGTTCTTCTTGTTTAAAAGCGATTTTTGTTGCTTTTTTAATTATTCGACGATCCTGAAAGAAAAGAAAATGTTTTAATAAGAAAAAAATGAAAATAATTGAAAATTTTACTTTTCGAATATCTTTAACAGCATGTTTTCTTGCACGTCGTTCTTCACTTGTTTCACCTTTTTTTCTTTCGAATATAATTGATTGTTGATTTGTCGTTGATTCTTGATCATCCTCATCATCATGTTTTTCATCGGTTGTTGTTTCTTTTGTTTTTATTTTATTATTATCAGTTAATGGTAAACCTGTTTTTTTTGATAAACGAATTCGATTTATTGAATTTTGTGTTAATAATTTTGGATGATTATATGTATTTGAATATGTTGTTAAAATTGTTTCACAATCCCATTTTTCATCATCGTTTTCATCATCATCAACAATTATTGTTGTCAATATTTCAGGTTGATTTAATAAATGTTTAGCTAATTTTTTTGTTTTCTCAATTGCTGCACGTTCAATTTGTTCATCACTAAAAACAAAAAAACAAACTGAATTTTTTTTTTTTCATATTCTTGTATATCGATTGATACAATTTTAGTAATGGACTTTTCTATACATTAATCAAACCACAATCATATACAATTAGTGATTCAAGATTTTCACTATGAATTTTTTGTATGACTGCACATATTGATATGATGTAAATGCATTGTTACTTGAAAATATCTCGATTTTATATGGATAAGTTCAACCTGTTTTCACCTGATTATCATTTTTTATTGAAAACGTTTTTGTATTGAGCTAAGAAATGATTTTGTTAGCATAGAACTTCAAATTCTTTTCTATTAAGATGAATCTTATTGTTATTGATTACGATCTATTAAATCACTAATATCTTCCTTGTTAGATGTTTAATTTAGCATGAACTAGATTAATTGTATTATTTTCGTTTTTGGCCAGAAAAACTGTTCGCACAATCCCTATAGGATCACAATAGAAAACACGATGAAGCTGCATAGATTGTAAATGAAAGAATTCACCAATAAATGTTTTGATTTATGAATTATAATCTATAGATAATCAATGACAATAATAGGGGCTCTCGATAGTCTTTAGAAGTGTACGAGACTAAAAATTTAACAGACAGTCTAAGGCAGAAAGTGATTGAGAAAAGCTGCCTTCTTAAGCTTGGAAGACGATTTTCCAACAATAGTTCAACTTTTTTGCAACACGACATAAAAAGTAGAGGAATAACTCACTCCAACCTCTTTCACATCGAGACATATTTCGATGATAACAGATGTTAATTATAATATGATACTGTGGATGTGAAAGAAGCAAAGAATAGAGAAGACTAATTCTGTAGTAGACTTCGTTTTCGTTGAATAGATCAGTCCAGACTCCAGACAAGAAAGTGACAATACCAAAGTATTTGTCAACGTCTATCATTAGAGGGAAAGATGTTGCTAAGTTGACTAATTCCTAAGCCTAAAATTATTACTTATATCTTGGTAGAATAGTCAGAAAAAAATTGTAGAGGAAAGGCGAACCCACTGACAATATCTTTAAGAGAAACCCGTTCCCCAAGCCAGCGTCTAGTTATATTCCTACTATATCTGATTATAATATTTAGAAAATCGCAGTTTTTTTTTATACTGAACTTGAACACTGATTCTAGAAAAAGTTTCTCAAACTGAAGATTATAAAAGGTGTTAGAGTTTGGAAAAGTGAATGTCTTATTTTTTTTATCACTAACAAGCAAAATCGATTGTTTCTAACAAGAAAAGGTTAACAAGTGCTACTCGCTAATCGAACTGATATTTTGCCTATAAAAACTAACCTCGATAAAACTATCAGAAGTCTATAAGAGTTCGTCCCCATACGCTATTCTTACTAAGTTATTACAATTTTATGAAATTTCGTCGATAGATAAGTCGTTTCGTAGACTTCGGAATACTCCGAAAATATATCCTATTTAAATTTGTAATTAGTATGAATAAATAAATTTTACGTTTGCATTTGTTGTTGTTCAAATTGTTCAATAGTTTGTTGAACAAGATCATCTTGAATCGAAGCACCTTGTTGATTAATATGATAAGAATCTAAAGCTCCAATATTTTCATCATCATATTCATCAAAAACTTTATCAAAATGATCATCAACATTTTGTAATCCTTGATTTCTTCTAATAACAGATGATGTCATTGAATAATTTGTATATTTTGTTTTTGATGTTTGTTTATCATCATCTTGATGAGACATATTTGAATCGAGATCATCATCATCTTCATCATCTTGATCAAGAAAACGTCTTAATGCAAGTGGAATTGGTTTATTGAATTTTGGGACAAATAATGGTGGAATTGTTGGTGGTAAATTTTCATTTATTACTTCATCTCTACACAAAAAAAAAACATTTTTTTTTCTTTGAATATTTGATTCAAAAAAAAACGTTGTTTTTTTTTTTACTCGAATTCATCACATTCGTCATCAGCTAGTGGTTGAGTACCATTAGCTTTAAGCATAAAATCATCCTCAAGAAGATTATCATCAGCATTATAATCATATTCATCATCATCAAGTGCTGCAATAACATCAGGATCCCAATGAATTTTTGGATCTAAAAAAAAGAAAAATATTTTATTTGACTTTTTTCTAGAAATAAATAATTTACCTGAATCTGGAGCTGCGAGATTTAACATTCCAATTTCATTTGTTGTTTTACTTTCAAAAACCGTTGATGGAAGATTAAAACGAGTTACAGTCTAAATAGAATATAATTAAATATTATATAAAAACCTTCTTTTTTTTTGTATTATGTTACAGTTTCTTGATTGTTTTCTTGTTTGTCAATGTCATATTCATCATCATCATCATCATCATCATCATCTTCTTCTTCTTCTTCTACTTGTTCTTCTTTTTCATTAACTTGAACAGAATATTCATCTGGTGGTGCACATGGATCACGTAAATGTTGTAAATAATCATAATCATCATCATAATCAATTCCATATTTAAGTTGTTCAGTTTTTCTTTGTTCAACCTTTTATTTTATTTTTTTGTTTAAAATAAATTTGAAAAAAAAAACGAATTTATTTTAATAAATAACTTACTTCAAGTGGAACAAGTACACGTTCACCAACAGTATCATCTGCAATTAATGGATCATGTTGACTACGATGAACAAGTTGAAATGTTATTGCTTTTTTCTTATCAATAAATTTTCGACGATGAGGCATTTTTTTAATTAATATTTTCTAGAATCTAGAATTACAGTAACATAAATAAATGTATTAAATATATATTTATGGGGCAAGATACATCACTAATACTCCATTACAATATTACTAGTTTATTTATCGATACAATTAGAATATGCGATGATAGATGGCGCTTTTAAAGAAACAACAAACTAAATGAAATTACATAATTTCATAGTCATCAGTAAAAATAATTTTATTTGAAATACCAATGAAATACGTTCGAATTTACATATAAAATTGATTATTACATTAATTATAATAAATATCATTATATAACACTTGAAAATCATCATCCATCTAGCCTTAAAACCAAGTTATTTCTTCCGTGAGAAATTTTTATTAAACCGATCGTATTGCAAATATTCAGTATAGAAGAAGAAAAATTTTAATTTTTCATAAGAGAAGAGTACTAAGAAGTTTTTGTTTAACACTGGATAAAATGTGCTATCATAACAAATACCTAATTCAACAATTAATATTATTTATTCATATTTAGTCAGTTTTTTATTTAATAAATGTCCTGGATTCTGTGAGTTCTGAACTCATTGAACTCTCAAAATTGCAACTCCACTCACGGACCTGAAGAAAGACTCGGAACTTGAACAAATTGAGTAATTCCAACAACTGTTGTAACCCGAAAAAAATCATAAATTTGCTGAAATTTAATCTACAGACCAACCCTAACATTACAAATGAAATGGATGTCACCACCCTTCTCTTACGTATAATTTTAAAATAACTGCAGTAGTGTCTTACATGCAGGAATTTGGTACATCGGAAATAACGCGAGATGTGACAAATATACGGTACAATCTTGCTTGCGAGCATTCAAAATATGCGTGTGGCTGTGAATGTAGAGAGAACCCAACTCAACCTAAACCTATATCCATACTCGTCCAAGAATTCCGTGAGTAACGTTGTGCTATTGACTTAGTTCTAAAATTTCAGAAGTCATGGAGTCTGGCCATTGGTGTAAAATTTCACCAATAAAGCAAGCGATCTGATGAATCCTCTCATTCACCGAAAGTTTTCAGTTGTAACGAATATTTTCTTCATGAAATATCTTATTCTAACGAATGCGCATAGTTTAGAAACGAATGCAGAAAAATCCGGTTTCTCCTCAATATACTATCTCATGAAGAAAATATTCATTTTAGCTCAAACTTTCAGTGTATAAAAGAATTCATCAGACCTTTTTATTGAAGAAATTTCAGATCAAACGGACAACATTGAGTTTTTGATGACATATTCTGCATTTGGTCAGAAACTCTATAATATAGTCATAACTTGAGAAAACAACAACAAGAGCATGAATCATTATAGATTTGTACTAGTGTCCATAAACTCTATGTAATGACACAAATCTCGTCTCATAAAGCCTTTTTGTCTCTTGAAAAGATTTCCTTATAGTTCAGAAATTTTACATTTTCACACAATAGAAAAAATATTTTCTTAAGGCAAAATATTCAGATGAATTAATACAAACATTACAAATTTGTTTGAATTTTAACTTAGAAAAGGTAGAAATTTTTCTGTTTTACATT